TATTTTATATTCTTATTGTCGAATATTATTAAATATAATTAATTTTGTGATTTTGATAAAATTCAATCAATTTTTTGTTTTTTAAATAAAGTTTAAAATATGATTTAGAATTACATTTTTAATTTTTAAAACATTTAAAAATTAGTTATTTATAATATTATTTAATTAATTTTTAAATTATTTATATTTATATTCTTATTATTAAATCTATTATAATTACTTTTGTGTTTTTGATAAATTTTTAATATTATAACATAATTTTGTTATTTAATATATTTTTCTATTTTTTAAATAATAAATAAGATATGATTTATCTATAATTTTTTGATATTTAAAAAGTATTTATTTACAATAATATTTAGTTATTTAATAATACCATATTTTAATTTTTAAATTATTAATTCAATAAGTAATAAAATTAGAATTCATACTATTATTAATTTTGTAAAATATAAAATAATTATTAATTCAAATATTATGAAATCTATTTAAATTATTTTTCTACTGTCAATATATTTTTTAAACTTATTACACAGTTTCGTTATTTTAACTATTTAATATTTAATTGCGTTAAATATTTAAATTTTATTTTTCTTAAGGCTATTATGTAGTATTAAATGTTTTTTATTTAAAATATTTAGTTATTGAAATATTTAAATAATATTTTATTTTTTAGTTCTAATTTATATTATTTGAATAACATTTAAATAAGTTATTTATATTTTCAAAATATTATTTAGTGATTAAATTGAGTAATCCATAAAATTATAACTTATATTGTTATTACATAATTTCATTATGAATTTCACAAAAATATAATATTACTTATAATTATTTTTATGTTTTTAATAAATATTTTAATGTTATTACATAATTTCATTATAAATAATATTTTGTGTTTTACTAAAGTTATAACACAAATTTGTTATTTAATATTTTTTTGAAATAATATTTAAGATACGATCTAGTTATTAACTTTTTTGATATTTGATGAGGGCGAATTTGGCCCTCCAATGATATTGTGACACATGGCACCTCGGAACAACTAGGTGACACTTGAAACCACTTAGGCAACAACTTGCCTTAGCCAAGTTGATGGTGTCCCACCTGGCGGCCTAGCCCAGGTGCGAACTGGCGGTCTGGCCCAAGCGCGAACTGGCGGCCTGGCCCAGGCGCCGACCTGGCAACTTGCGAAACGTGTTCGCTGACAAATTCAGCATGCATATCCTAACACTCCCACGATCCTTAGAAGTTGGCCCACGTGCCGAACGATCCGGAGGGTGGTCAACGTGCATGGCGGTTGCCTTAGAGAATCTCGGACCACTTAGACGACTTCTCGGAAATCTCAGATGCGGTGCGTGAAGCCCACGCCAAACAATGCCTATATAAAGTCACCAACCCCAATGGCATAGGGGGGCAAGTAAGAATATTCTAGCTCTCATACTTTGTGATTTTTAGCTTGCAGTCTATTTTGAGAGTATTGACTTAAGCATCAAAGCGACCTTGCTGAGTTAGCCACCCCGGGTCCTTTGACATTGATTCCTTGCAAGTCTCTAAAGAACTACGAAGCTCAACAATCAATCCAATTCGCTACCAAGCAGCTCGACCCTCTGGTCAGCTCGACAACTAATAAGCAACTAGGTTCTCTGGTCATATCGGCAACTAATAGGCAGCTCGGCACTTTGGTCAGCTCGTCACCTAACTTGCCTAGCTCGGCCCAGTCAGCTCGTCACCTAACTTGCCTAGCTCGGCCCAGTCAATTTGGCACCTAACCTGCCCAGCTCGGCCCATTTAACTCGGAACCTAATCTACCCCCAGCGTGGCCTGGTAAGCTCGGCATCCAAGTCCTCATCCAGCAAAAGTTCACTTCGGCCTCTGAGTCATCAACCACTTGGAAGCAGACCAAATGACGAGGTACTTAGCACAAAAAAATGATACATCACCAGAAATTGATTCATCAATTGGCGCCGTCAATGGGAAACACTACAAAAAGCTAAGTTCTCATCCTCCGAAAGGCTAAGTTCTCTTCTTCCAGAAAGCTAAGTTATCACCTTTTATAAACTAAAAGCTCTCACTTTCTAGTTTCCATTTTTTATGAATTCAAAGACCATGCAGGAAGTTAATGGCTAACAGACTAAGCAGCTCTACCAACTTTATTTCAACTCGGATAAAGCCTCATCAGTCCTCTTCGCGCGGTACCCTCTACAAATATGAGCTCTTCGTGGCTTCCGCGGGAGTAGGCGGCCAACGGACTGCATGAACACCCCTGCCGGTCGAGCCTTCCAAGGCTCCCGTGCGAGTTGGTGACCTAAAGTCAGTAGTGCTACCCCCGTAGGTCGAGCTCCTACTAGCTTCTTGTAGGAGTGGTTAACCGATATCACTAACGAGGCTGATGCAGCGCAGCCGTAACTCTATGGTGTCGAGCTGATAAAAGACCCCAGCACCACATAAGACCCAGTTGCCTCTTCGGCATGGGCCAAAATCAAAGATCAATGAGCGTGGACTACGAGTCGCTCCCAGAGCCTAAGGGCTAAAGTGTCGAACTGGCAATGACTTCGGCACCACATAGGATCAATCGCCTCTTCGGCATGGGCAAAATCAAGGGTAAGGAGAGTGGACTGCCAGTCGCTCCCAGAGCCTAAGGAATTGAATCGACGCTTACGAGCTCATCGAATTAATCATTTCAGGCCAAAAGGAGAAATCTACTCCCTTCGCCAAGTTACTTTCAGCTCGGGAGTGGGGGGCAAATGATGAGGGCAGATTTGGCCCTCCAATGATAATGTGACACATGGCACCTCGGAACAACTAGGTGACACCCGTAACCACTTAGGCAACAACTTGCCTTAGTCAAGTTGATGGTGTCCCACCTAGCGGCTTGGCTTAGGCGCCGACCTGGCGGCCTGGCACGGGCGCGAACCTGGCGGCCTGGCCCAGGCGCCGACCTGGCGGCCTGGCACAGGCACTAACCTGGCGACATGCGAGACGTGCTCGCTGACAAATTCGGCATGCATATCCTAACACTCCCACGATCCTTGGAAGTTGGCCTACGTGCCGAACGATCCGGAGGGTGGTCAACGTGCATGGCAGTTGCCTCAGGGAATCTCGGACCACTTAGACGACTTCTCGAAAATCTTGGATGCAGTGTGTGAAGCCCATGCCAAACAATGCCTATATAAAGGCACCAACCCCAATGGCATGGGGGGGGGGCAAGTAAGCATATTCTAGCTCTCATACTTTGTGATTTTTAGCTCGCAGTCTACTATGAGCATACTGACTTAAGCATCAGAGCGACCCCTGGTCCTTTGACATTGATTCCTTGTAGGTCTCTAAAGAACTATGAAGCTCAACAATCAATCTAACTCGCCACTAGGCAGCTCGACAACTAATAGGCAGTTAGGCCCTCTAGTCAGCTCGGCACTCTGGTCAGCTCGACAACTAATAGGCAGCTCGACAAGTAATATGTAGCTCGACCCTCTGGTCAGCTCGACACCTAATAGGCAGCTCGACACTCTAGTCAGCTCGTCACTTAACCTGCCTAGCTCTGCCCAGTCAGTTCGGCACCTTACTTGCCCAGCTCGACTTAGTTAACTCGGCACCTAATCTGTTCCCACCTCGGCCTAGTTAGGTCGACATCCAGGTCCTCATCCAGCAAAAGTTCACTTTGGCCTCTGAGTCATCCGCCACTTGGAAGTATACCAAATGACGAGGTACTTGGCACAAAAAATTGATACATCACCAAAAATTGATTCATTAATATTTAATGTATTTAAAAATTAGTTATTTACAATAATATTTAATTATTTAAACAATACCATTATTTAATTATTTAAAATATAAATTATTTATTAAGTTTAATATTCCATAAAATTAGAATTTGTATTATTATTAAATTTTAAAATATAAAATTATTATTAATTCATTATTTTGAAATCTATTATAATTATTTTTCTACTATTAAGAGATTTTCTAAACTTATTACATAATTTTGTTTTTTTAACTATTTAAAATTTGGTTATGTTAAATATTTCACTATTGATATATTTAAATAATTTTTTATTTTTTAATTTTATTATCATTTGAATAACATTTAAAATTATTTATTTATATTTTTAAAATATTATTTAGTTATTAAATTTAATAATCTATATATTATAATTTATATTGTTATTACATAATTTCATAAAAATATAATATTATTAAATCTATTATAATTATTTTTTTGTGTTTTTAATAAATATTTTAAAGTTATTATATAAATCAGAATTAGAGATGGGATAAATCAGAATTAGAGATAGTTATGATAATTTAGATGAAAGTGGCTAATAGTTAATTTCTTAATAAAAAAGAGAGATCAGCCATGTTAGGTGGTAACTCCATACGCTTATAGAAGGAATTTTATACCCGTCTAGAATTGCTCCATTGGGTAATTGTGGTATAAGTGTATAATATTAATTTAGTGTATATAATATAAATATAAATATAAACATAAATATAAATATAAATATAAATATAAAACCTACCCTCCTTCCCTACGTTTCGTATAGTTTTTTCTGCCTTTTCCTTCATTTTCTATTTTTCTTTCAAACCAAACATGGAGTAAATGTTTTTTGCGATGCCCTATGCCCATTTAGCCTAGAGTAATCCGTTGGACCCGATTCATATAGGGTATGGACCCATCACCCATTTATGGCTGGGCCAGGGGCTGTGGACCCAGGCTCAGGCCATGCTAATGTGGGCGGATGCATCGGGTTCGAATTCCACACCAATATTAAAATTTTGGGCCCCACATGTATTTAAATACTGACGTGAAACCTTATCATGGGTTTCACGGGTTCCCATTGTCATAATTAATGGGGAAATTCCATTGTTGTCCCATGTTCACCCGTATGAATATACGGATTCGTTCACCCGTATGAATACACGGATTCGACCAATCCGTACCTCTATCATTGCGTAAATAATATTGGTTTGGTTCGAAGGATAAAAAGCTGTCTGCCTTTCCCTTTTTCTCCCCTCGTGGGCTCGTACCTGCCCTCCCTTCGAGAAACCCTAACTTCCGGTTGCAGGTATCCTGCTTGAAATTGTTGCTGACGCATAGCCCCAAAATATAGAGCACATCGATCCTTCTTGTTCAAATGCCATTGACCAGCGACGTGAAGGTATTAGGGCTTAAAGCGTCGGCCCCGGAAATTAGAGAGTCAAAGTGACTGATTTTTATCAATGGAGGTCGTCCCCTACTGCACCTGTAGTGGATTCCGTAACGCTTCTGGCGTCTGTGCTTCCTGCGGCAGCTATCGGCCTGCTGCAAGAAGACCGCCGCCTCCTCGTTCTCATTTGCCATCGATGTCAGGCGAAGATGAAGGGGTCACTGAAGGTGGAGAACATGGAATATATTATTTTATTCCCAGATTGATCGTCAGTGCGCTCTCCGGAGCTCTTACAGGGCTGTTCGCTCTAGGTATCTTAATTATCTTATATACGAAGAGTTTCATTTGGTCGTAGAATTCCAAATTCCATCCTGATAAGTCCTGTATAGATTGGATTTGGATTCTGTTCAAATTGATTCCATCTTCAGAAGTATAATACACATTGGATGTTATTCGAATTGAACACTTTTTTTTTTGGGTTTTTTGGGCATGTTTTGAAATTCAAGTACGTGCATGTGATGCTGTTTTTTTTCATGGTTATTTTAACGTACGAGTAGTAGAAGAGTATTAAATGGGTTTTTTAATGTTAAAACTGAAGTTAATCCATTGTTATATTACCCATGAGTCCCATGACTGACGAGGAAACAGCCTTGAGGAACCTATAAAAGAACTTCCTCGAGGATCAAATTTGTTTAACTTTAACGGATAATTGTGGTAATGAAACATAGTCCATTAGAAGAATGCGATCATCTCTCTGTACCGGTGGCATCTATAGCAGAGCTACTAATATGAGTTTTCAAGACGGTTGTTTGTTGTGAACGCAAGGATGGCTAATGTTAACAAGGTATAGTATTGCAAGATCAATGACTGTTAATTCATTCTGAATTTACAGAGTAAAGAAGGCAGCCAGTTCTCTCGGGAAGTATTATTGTTACGTACATTAACTTGGTTGGGTGCTTTTCGAATGACCCTTATTGATTAAATTGCATCAGTTGATCTTGGTAAAGAGAAAAAAAGGCCATTACCCAATGTTGGTCCCAGCTATCTACGGTCTTGAGAGGGGTGAGTTGTATATAGACCAATTTGTCAGTTTTTTGCACAAATTAGATGTTCTCAGACTTCAATCTGTATTCTCATGCTTGCCAGACTGAAATTTTACCATTACACCAAGCAATAGCCCCTAGTTGGTCTTTGTATGGAGAGGAACTGTTATGAACCCATTGAACTGAGTTGGGAACACTTATATAGAATCACAAAGCCCATGTATTAGGAATAGAGCAATTAATGATGCCTGGATAAGAAGGTTTGCAAACTGTATTCTCATATTGGGGGGGGGGGGGGCATCTTAATGGGATGCAATTGTGAACCATAATGTAAATATTAATATCCCCCTCCTGATTGTATATAATTTTTTAAAAGTGTTACAAAATCTCAATTTCTGGATAAGATGATTTACAAACAATGTTCTAAAATTAGATGAGGGGGTGTTTGAATTGAATTCAATAGAGAGCCATAATAACTCTTTACAATCCCTCCCCAATTTATTGTAAGACTTTTAAACTGATAAAGTTCAGACCTGCACTAGAATTCTGTTAAAATTAGAGGAAGATTAGAGGAGATAGAGGAGAGAAGAAGAGAAGAAGAGAAGAGAAGAAAACTGGTTCGAACAAGAGAGAAAAATCACTCTCTTTAGTCGGCCAGGTTATATTTATATGTTTCTATTCGAATACAACAAAAAGACTATTACATCCCTACTTAAGTATGGGACACATCACTTAACATAAACATTACACATCAGCTTAAATATAAATAGAAGGACTAAACTACCCCTATACAGTTGACACTAACATAAACAAATGTAAATAATGGAATGTTCAATTGGATATACCTGTGATAATCACATATTTAGTTATTACCAATGATTTTACCACATGCATCATGACTGTTACATAACATAACCAAGTTCAATTTCCAAATTCATATTCTGATAGTCCATATACATTCTTCTTTTTATCTTATAAAATTGATGATGATACCTAAAAAGTGCAAGTCACTGAAGTTCAATGCTTGATACAGAAGAAACCAAAACTTGTAATCCCATCATAACTCAATCAAGAAAAATATCAATTAACAATTTAACATAAAACAAAATAAAAGATCTAAAGTCAGTCTGGATTTTTTTTTAGATAAGTAAGTCAGCACACAATTTGAAAAATTACAAAATAAAGATCTAAATAAATTATAAAACAAAAGATGTAAAGTTATTGACATTCTAAATGCAAATTAAAAGCAACAAATTATGACATGGATAGGGTATGATTGCCATATCACTTGGCATTCTAAATATAGAGATCGAAATAAATTATGAAATAAAAGATCTAAATAAATTATAAAACAAAAGATCTAAAGTCATTGACATTCTAAATACAAAATAAAAGCAACAAATTATGACATGAATAGGGTATGATTGCCATATCACTTGGTTAAAACAAAATTCTCTGTTCCTTTATGAGCAACTTGTTATTATACAATAAAAAGAGCATAGACACTACAATCTCACCCCACCACTCTTTTTTACATTTGAGCCCAAAACTTTTGTTGTCTATTAACTCCTTGTTTATCCAAACAATCTAACAAATAGTTTGCAGGCCTTTTTATTGATAAAAAAAAATAGTTTGCAGGCCTTCATATCCATCTGATTTGTATCCACATGTCTTTTGAGAACCATTTGAACTGTTTTAATTCATTTATGAAATTCCACACCACATTCTTTTCCTTCATTAACTGGTCAGCTACCACCTTCGAATCACCTTCAATCATCAACCTCTCAATTCCCATTTCTTTAGCTTTTTGCACACCAAATACTTCTGCCAAAATTTCTGCTCTTACTGAATCACCTTCTCCTATTGGACCTGAATGCATTGCATATATGGTTCCGTTCTCTTCCCTTACCACTCCCCCACTTCTAGAAGGCCCAGGATTACCCATACTGCTGCCATCAAAATTCAGCTTCAACCATCCTCTGCTTGGAGGTGTCCAATCCTCTTTTGCTTTCAGTTAACTTTTGTAAGTGAATTTGTTAGCTTCTTAACACCTTTCTCTATAAAGCTAAAATATTAGAAGGGGGAGAGTAAAGGGATAGGGTTGGAAGCAGAGAGAAGGGTTTTGGACAAGTCATCTCGCAGTTTTATAGTAGGAAGGAATATAGGAAATTACCTTAGGTGGACAAAGATTAATCAGAGTGAAGAATGAGGATGGTGATAATCAGGATGAAGACATTATATTGATGAAACTCGTGTTGTAGAAAAATCAATGGATTTGGAAGTGGTGGTGAATATATGAAGTTGAAGTTAGCAAAATTATGGGTTTATTCTTTTTGGAAGGGGAGGAGTTTGAAAGACATTTACAGAGTTGGAAAAAGAGAGTTTTGGTGATGTAGTTTCTGAAGAAATGGTGCAAGCAACAAGAACTGGGAGCCAGTGTAGACAAACATGTCCTATGGATCAATGGATGTGCAGTTTGAAGAGGTATTCAAAAATCTCTTGTGGAGTTCAGAACAAGGATTAAGTATGTGGTGGGGGATGGTATGAGGATAAAATTTTGGTGTGGTACTTGGTGTGGAGATCAGCCACTTAAAGAGAGTTTCCCCATCCTTTTTAAGATCGCACAAAATAAGGAATAGTTGGTAGCTGAGGCTGTTTACTGGGAAGGAGATGTAGCAGTTTGGTGCCCTGTTTTTAAAAGGAACCTGAATGATTGGGAGGTTGGGCAGTGGTTGGGGCTGATGCAGCAAATTGGTGCCATCATACCTGATACTCTGAGCAGGGACAGACAAATTTGGAAATGGGACAAAGCAGTCAGATCTTTTTACAACAGGCTCACTGAAGTGGGGGGCTTTCCAGAAGCTAAAGTGTGGGACACTATATCTCCTCCAAAAGTTGCTTTTCTATTATTGATTGCAGTGTTGGTCAAATGCTTAACAGTGGATGTACTGGCATGGAGAGGTCTGAGAGTGTTGCCCAGTAGGTGTGATGTGTGGAGAAGCTTCAGAAGATTCAGATAATTTGTTTATTCACTGCAGAGTTTCAAGGGGTCTATGGACAAAGTTTCTGGAGCTGTTTGAGGTTCAGTCTTGCTTTCCACAAAGTTTGCTGGCATTGTTATTGCTTATTGGGTTGGCAGCTGAATGGTCTATCAAAAGAAGGCAAGGTTGTTTGGGGGTAGGACCTGCTTTAGTGGTTTGGACAACTTGGGTGTAAAGAAACAAGAGATTGTTTGGACAAAGTTTCTGGACCTGCTTTAGTTGGTGTGTTGTTGGGTGATGGTTTCTCACATTCCCTTTTTCTTTTAATATATATATATATATATATATGTGTGTGTGTGTGTGTGTGTGTGTGTGCGTGCGTGTGTGTGTGCGTGTAATATATGTATGTATGTATATAATATTATTTTCTCCCTTCAAAAAGGTATTCAGTCATGGTGATACTCTGCTTCAGTTATTCCAAGTTGTAAGAGTTTTTCATTTTGAAGGCAGTGGTATTTTAAGATACTTTACAAGAGTTTCTTTAATTGGCATGTACTTGACAATACTTTTTGCCAGCTTATCAAAAGGAAAAAAAACCTATTCTGAGTGCAATACAATGCTTGTTAGAGCCAAGGCAGATTGCTAATTGTGAATCCTGATGCATGCAACTTATGATGGTTTCCCTATTATTCTGACCACTTGGAAGTTGGAAATAGTTGATTATTGGGAGATTTTAATAAAGGCATTCTTTATTGGGTCTGAAATGTTAAGTTTACTGACAATAATTTGATGATTTTGTTCTTACTTATTTATGCTTCATGTACAGCTGGAGCTCTTACTGGAGCGGTTACTGGTGCATTAGCAGGTCGGGCTTCTGAGAGTGGTGTCCTTCGTGGGGCTGGACTTGGAGCTGTTGCTGGGGCAATTTTATCTGTTGAGGTTTTAGAAGCTTCCCGTGCTTACTGGTGTTCAGAACAATCTGGTTCTCGTACCTCGTCATCCATGGTCAGTGACTTATTGCAGAAATTTTGTTTTTAGACCTAATATTGACCTTTTGATCCATCGCTTTCCAGGCAGATTTCATAGAGGAGCTCCTTCATGGGAGGTTTGTACAGGAACAGTTTGCACCAACGATGTTCACAGCACACCACTGGCAGGTTATTTTACTGTATTTTCTTCAATAATTTTGCTTGTATTTTCCTGGTTAAGGGCCAGAATTTAATATTCTATGGCTTGATGCAAGTATGCATGAATAACCAAAATGCTTTGGATGAGAGCAAATAGTTGCCTTCTTTATAAACTACAAACTTTTGTGTTTATTAAATAAATAAAATACATCAATTTTTTTTTTGATGATAAAAAGAACATTTTATTAGAAAAAACATTTTAATGGCTCTATGCAGGACCTTCTGTGAAATCTCTCCCCTTACCACTAACGACCATACTTAAAAAGAAAGACTTAGAGGAACTCCTTTAATCAAATGCACTACCTGTTAGTCTTCCTCAACAAACTCAGCCTCCCTCCCTTCAACTTCCTAATCCCAAACCTCTCTTCCTTTCCCAACTCCAGTCTTCTTCATTCTCTCTTCCCTGCACCTCCTCTCAAATTCAAGGACTAAAATTTTGTCACATATCAGAGCGTATCAGCCAATACGTATCATATTGGTGACCCTCTGATACGCCCCTATACTAGGTGTTTCGGGGTCTGACCCATTTCAGGGGGTAGACAGGCCTTAAACTGACCCCCTGAACTGGTTTAGAAAAAAAAAAGCAGCTAATGGTACGGACCGATACACCCCATCCAGTGTATCGGCCTGTTTTGATATTTTGAACCTTGCTCGAATTCAGCAAAAGCTCTATGAGAAAACACCTTCCACCCAGAAACCACAGACCTAAAGATTTGCCAACCTCTACATCAAATATTCTTTTTCCGTTAGGGATGATAACTTTAATGCAAAAGACAAAGTGTTTATTCCCTTCTTTCTGTTTTTTGCATTAATTTAGACTTATCATTCCTCAAAAAGAAACTATTTAAAGTGGTTATTTAACTTGAGGAAAATTTTAATCAATGGTATATTGGGGAACAACCTTTCAATACCTTGCCAAGTAAATGATCTTTTTCTAATGTATATTGTGAATCAATTATTGGCAGAGTCCTGAGAGTATATTTTCCCTGACTTATGGAATTAGGATTAGAGTTGTATATGATTCTTTTTTGTTAGAAGTATTAATGGTGACCTTTTTTTACACTATTATTCTTGTATACACCAAAGTTGTGTGTGAGACTACCAAATTCTGTTGGCAAGATGTTAAGAAGAAAAATAGTATGACTTTATCAAAAATCTGCTGTTTGTCTAAATTTCTGAATTCCTTGTGCAGTGACAGCCAAGAACATCTCTTTCCTTTGATTCTTCCTAGTACCTCCTGCTCATTGGAACTATGCTTCTGAAATATGCCAAGAACATCTGCTGTTTGTCTAAACACACCAGAACACAACCAATGGAAGCAGGCCCCAGACAATTCTCCTCCTTTTACTTAAACACCCAAGCTGCAAGCTCTGCATAAGTGACATGGTACACAATGGGAAGTACCCTTCCCATCCAAATGTTGCAAAAAATGTGTTCTACACTGATGTAGCGCGATCTGACTGCTCCTTGTTGGAGGATGATCTGGCTTCTAGTCAGACGACGAGCTAAGTGAATCTGCAAGAAAGGATCAGAGAACCCGGGGTGGCTAACCCGACAAGGTCGTTCCGATGCTTAAGTTAGTAATCTGATGCAAGCTGAAGAGCTTTGAGAGCTAGAGAGCAGAAAAATCACGCGTACCTTGAGCCATTGGGGTTGGTGCCTTTATATACTGAAGTAGTCATGGAGCTCACAAAAGAGCTCCGGGATATCCGGGGTGTGGAGATAGAGTTCGCTCCACTTCCGAAGGAGCAGTAGATAAGGCTTATCGTTCCACTTCCGATTCCGGTAGAGTCGGGATGAGCCCTCATCGTAATCTCGGAAAAGTCGGGTTTTGTTAGCTCATCGTGATCTCGAGGGATTCGGGTTCCGTTGGAGAGACCTCTGGGGTTGGTTACGCGGGAATCAGTTACGTGGCGATTCAAGTTGTTGGTCCCGAACTGGTACTTCGGTTCCTTAGTTCCGAATTGTATTGAACACCGAGGTGCCTCGATGCCGAGGTGAACCTTATACAGAGGTGAGCCTTGCGCTGAGGTGGCCTTGCATCGAGGTGAGCTTTATGTCGAGGTGGCCTTGCACCAAGCTCAATTGTCGCGAACTATACTTGCCAGGCTGAGTTGTCTCCTCTTTGTCAGGTCGTGTCCACGTGTCCCCTCTTCGCTAGGTCGGGACCAAATCACCCTTCATCAATTGCCCCCCACTCCCCGAGCCAGGGGTCTCAACCCGGTGTGGGGAGTTCATGACGAGTATAGGTGGATTTGGCACGAGGTCTAGGCGGTCTGATAGGCGAATCATTGGTCGGACCAGCTCAACCGCTTGGCTCAACCAGGAACAACCCAGGTCACGTCAAGTGTACGCGTGGACGTCAAGCCGTTTTATAAACTCCGTGGACGTCAAAACGCGCACTAAACTGATTTCAACCTCGGGGGTCGTGCAACCGGTTTTCTTAGGACCCGTTGGATCGTGACGATCTCGACCATTGATTCCCGAATACAGTGGCTATAAATAGGGGGCAAGGGACTCATTTTCTTCGCCACAAGTCTGATAATTCGCATTCTGAGGTCGCACTCAAGCCCTTCAATTCGGTGTCTTCCCGAGGTCGTCTTCCTTTCTTCAGTTCGGTTTCCCTTTGGTGAGTATTCTCTAGCTCTCCTTTGGTGAATCCGCTGGAGCCGAGGTGGGTACCTCGGCTCAGGCCGTAGGTCTTGGTCCTGTCGAGGAGGTTACTTCGGGTTAGGATGCGGTCCGCGGTCCTCCCGAGGTGGACTCACCCTGGGAGGAGCGAGAGGCCTCTGGTGACATGGCTTCCACCTCGCATCGAGGTCGGGTGCCAGATAACTTTGGCCCGTCAACGATGACGGCGGACAGGCTCCTGTCCCTAGTAGCCCGGTATAAGCTTCCAAACAACTTAGTCTACAGTATCCCCCTAGGCAACTTCTCTTGGGAGCACGGTCACGACGAGATCATGATCCTCGAGGAACAGCTCGCAGCTGGTCTTCGTCTTTCACTTCACCCCTTGATAGTTGAAGTCATAAAGCTTTCTAACATTACCATAGACCGGTTGCACCCAAACTCCATCCGTAATGTAGTAGGAACAATCTCCCTTTTCCACGACTACAACCTTCCTCTCGACCTCGACATCTTCTCCTCCATCCTTTCTATTAAAAAGAACTCGTCCTGTGTTCTGCCCGAACACAGGCAAACTTACTACCTATCACCACGTCCAGGCTACAAACTCTTGCACGAGCTTTCGAACAAGGTCCCGGCCTGGAAAAGGCGTTACTTTGTGGTCCATAACACTGAGGGGTGGCCTTTCCCGGCCCATTGGAGGGCGGCCATCCAAGACCTCGGTGTCAGGTTGGACCTGAAGACAAGGGAGGTGCTCCGATTATGGGCGGAGCTCGGCTTGAAGTTCGTGGACTATGTGACCGAGGAGAAGCTCGTGCAGGCCAGTCTGAGTCCTGGTCGGTCACCATTTGTTGTATTTCCTTTACTTTATCTTGGTATTGTTTATGACTGTGCTTTGGTTGTAGCTATCATGGACATCCCTGCGACCGAACTTTTCGGGAGTATGAAGAAGGGGAAGAAGAAGCGAGCTTTGAAAAGAGCTCGCGTTGAGTCTCTGCCTCTGCAGCTGCCACTTCTTCAGGCAGCGACGATGCAACTCGGAGAATTCTGACTCCGAAATACAGCCTTCTCAAGAGCAAAAGCGCAGTGTACGCCGAGGAGGTTGCTGGTTGGGCTGAACTGTCGGTCGCTCAGCTCGAAGCCCGAGCGGCTACCCACTGCATGGTGGTAAGTTTCTGACTTATCTTCTTCGATCTTGTACTTATCTTTTTATCTACTGACGCTTGTTCTCTTCTCTTGGCAGGTGAACTCCGCTATCCACGCCTTGACTTATCAGTCCGAGGTGAATTTGAAGCGGGCCCTCGCAGCCGAGGAGTCTTCCCGTGAGGCTCACACCGAGCTTAACTTAGCCCGTAGCGAAAACAACCAACTGAAGAAGGATGCGTGGGCTAAGAAAGAGCTGATCACGCTGTTGATGTCCGAGGAGGAGCTCGCGGAGCATAAGGCAGCGCTGAAGAGGGAGGTGGAGAATCTCGAGGCTCATGTAAAGGAGCAGATTGAGATACTCCTTCAAGCAGTGGAGGAGGCCAAGGTTAAGGCCATCGAGGAATACAAGACTTCGGCGGAGTACCGGAGGGAGATGGTCGAGGTGGGGACGGCGAGCTATCGCAAAGGCTTCAAGCTTAGTAGGTGGTTGCCCCGGTGTGAGTTCCCCTAGCTCGATCTTAGAGCCATAACTACCTCGAGGATCACAAAGGAAATGGCTGCCAAAGCTGCTGAAGATCCGGACTCCGAAGAAGAAAGCGACAACGACCTGCTCGATCACGTCGAGGATAGACCTGTTCATGGGCCGGGTGGCCCGACGGGCCGGCCCTGCTTCCGGACGGGCTTGAACACACAAATGAGCTAGGGCTTAACCCTGGGCCGAAAAGCCCGACCCGCAATAAATTCGAGCCGAGCTCGGGATTTGCCAAAATAGCCCGGCTCGGCCCGGCCTGACCTATAGACTAAACTTAAAAAACCTTAACTCCCTAAGCCAAACCTCTCTTCTCTTTCACCTCTTTAACCTCTTTCCCCTTAGCCGAACCTCTCTTCTCTTAGTCTTCACATCCTCCTCAGTCCTCACACTCTCAGGCAGCCACACAACCGGCGAGGCGGCGAACATTCACCGGCGCAACAACTCCGGCGGTGAGTCCTCTCCTTTTCTGTTCTCTCTCTCTCTCTCTTTCTTTCTCTCATTTTTCTTCTCACTTCTCTTTCAAATCTCAGACGCCGGCGAGGCGGCGAATATAAGCACCGACGGCGGCGGTGCGTTCTCTTTTTTTTTTTTTTTTTTTTCTCTCTCTCTTTCTCTCTTTCTCAGATGCGACTTGACACACTTTTCACTGTTAAAATCGCAGCTCATA